CCCGTCCCTCTTTCCCCGCGTGATAGCGCGACCAGCGAGAATCTCGCTCGGAGGCGGCAAGAGCGACACCCCGCCCCTTCTCTACCTCTTTCCCAAGGCCTCCACTACGACAACCCGCTCGATGCCTGTTCAGCCGTGAGGGTACCGGGGCTCCCAGCCTCCTCTAAGCCATTGGGGAAGTGAAAGGGGTTCCCCGCCAGGGGCCGAATAGGAGGAGCCAGCGAGCGCCGGGCCCCTCCCCCCGGGGGCTTACCCTCCGCCTCCGCCTACTCGCTGCAGCCGCCCAGCTTCCTTGCGGAGGAGTCCGAAGCACTGCGTCCAGCAGCAGTTCCCCATTGCATGCCGCCCAGGTGCCACCGCTTCTCCTCCTCCTCCAGCTCAAAGCCCAAACCCAGGCCCGTCAGCCGCATCCGCGCGGCACGAGCCGAATGGGGGCTCGGGGACCGAGGGCGGGCCGGCCGCAGCGCGGCGGAGTGAGAGGCTAGGGCAACGGGAGGGACAGGCGCTCGGAACAAAGGCAGCGGTTACTCCAGCGGCCGCCGGGTCGCCGCTGCGTGAGGGAGGAGGGCCGGGCAGCGGGCTCTAGACTCCCGCGTTGTCCTCATGGCCCCTCGCTCGCCTCAGATCCCCAAGCTCAGATCCAGTGACCGCCTCCTGGCGCCGAAAGAGGCCAGTCCCCGCGCGTCGCGCGCCCAGGCCCCGCCCTCCGGCGCGCCCAGGCCAGGGCCTGGCCACCGTCTCCGCCACACCCCCAGGCTTTCCCGGACCCCAATAGGTCGTTCCCTCGACTGCCCCGCCTCCTCCGGCGACTGGCCTTACGTCACTTCCGCCAGCTCTTGGGTACGCATCTCAATTCGTGGGTGTGGGTGTTTGTTTTGTTGGATCTTGATCTGACTAGGAAATCTTTTTTCCTTGCAGTTTCCCGCCTCTGGGTCCCGAGCGTCTCAGGTGTCACACTATCAAGCCTTAGTTTTCGAACTTTGTACCAAAGCCTTGTGAGCAGCTTACCTAGAGCCCCGGGCCAGGAGTCATCAGGTGTGAAGGGGGCACTTCTCTGTGAGGTGTGTGCTTAGGTTTTGTTTATATTACACCATAAGTGGCAAATAGAGTCGGGGAACTGACTGTGGTTGTTTTGAAGCACTAAGAATTTTTTCTCTCTCGTCTCTAGTTTGCATTTCAGTCTCCATACTATCAACATTGTAGGGAAGTTTATAAACAGTGCCCTACTGGCCTTATTTGTTCTGTTTAGAATCGAACCGTCAAATAATTTCGGAGGAGCGGTTGGGGTCCAGAGGAAATATGTTAGAGGGCTAAGGTTTTTCAGGGACACCAGCCTTGCCAGTCCAAGCGTACTTCCCAGAACAGTAGTAGGTGGGAAGAGACAGCTACTCTGATGCGACTTGGTTTGCGGCACCCTCCTCAAGTGCTCCTTTAAAACTAGGTTTTTATCTGTGGTTGGCCTTAAAATCGGGTGTAAGTCATGGCTTAGTAAACGCCTGGTCTAGTGGATAGGATGTTTTAATTACTAACTAACCAGACATGCCAATTTTTAGGAATATTTTTACATTTTAGAAAATTGTTATTAATGATAACCTATTCTTTGACCTACTCATTTTCTTGCTTCCTGAATTCTATTCCGACGTGGGTTTCAACCTTAGCCCTGCTACTTCACTAATTTTGATTTTATTTTGGTCTTAGTCTTTTTTCGTAATCAAGTGTATAGGGATATATTTGGCCCAATAGTCTGCCATCAGTGAATGTTGGTGGAATGACTGAATGACTTCCTGAATAGTGACTATTTTCTTTTCCAGTTTCAGCCCCTGAAATCAAGCAAATATATTTGTGAAATAGTCTTTAAAATTTAACTCTACATGTTTAAAGCAGCTGGAATTTCTATTCCAATGGAATTTCCATTCTATGGAATACTAGTCAGCAACAAAAAGGAACATATTATTGATACACACACCTTAAATGAATCTGCAGGAAATTATACTGAATGGATACAGTATCACTTTCTCAACCCTACATTTGGGCATGGGTATGAAATCAGTAAAGACAATAGACAAGTGTATCACAGCTAAAACATTCATTTATATGGCAGTTGGCCAGGCAGAATATTAAGTTAACCAGTAAGAGACACAAATAGATTATTTACAATGATGGGCACTTAATGTCAGCCTTCTAGAGAGACCCCATGTGCCCACCTTCCAGGTAATAGGACCTTTCTCTGTCTTCCCCATCCCTTTCAAAGTTCCTTTCTCTCTCGTAGTTTATCCTGAAGTCAAAGCAAGAGTTTTTCTTATAGATGCTTTGGAGTCCATCAGGATGCAGTCTATACCTTGAACTGTCTTTTGGATTATGTGGTTCCAAATTGGAATCTCTCTTCGCTCAGAACTCCCTCTGTATTGACTATTAATCACTTTTTGTTCTTTTGAGATTGGTTGCTACCATCGTGCTGTTTTGGGGGTTAGGGGTTCCCTGCTGGGGAAGAATTCTGTGCTCCTCATTGCCGCACTCGTCCACTGAGTTTATCAATGTAGATGCATCCTTTTAATTCATTGGAGCATTGTTTGAATTACCAAATTTACACAGAATACTAGATATGACCACTACAACATGGAGATAATAACAAAATTTACCTTATGGGATTGTTGTCAGTATAAATGATTAAGCATTTAATCAAATACTTAGTAATATAAAAGTAAGTGCTTAGAATAATATAATTACACATATAATTCCAATCGTGTACTCTGTATATTATACTGTAATTATCTGTAATACCATAAATGTAATATAAGTATTAGCTGTTATTATTATCCACAGACCAAAGGAGATTTTCATCAACAAGTTATTCTTTCGTTTGTAGCTACATCCTTGGCATCCCATGAAAAAAGTTAGCTTTTCAAAATTGCACTTCCTAGGCATACATTCAGGCATACCCCACATTACTACTTGAGATCAGGCTCTAAGCAAGTGTGGCCTACGTGGGAATGAGTTCTCAAACTCTCAGGCCTTATCTATCCCATGATCTGCCTCTTTCCAGGATGATTGAAAGTTAGAATATCCACCGACTTACAGGGAGACCTCATCCCCTACCAGCTAGGAGTGTTTGTCTTCGGAGCCCACAATCTAATCATAGCACAATAATCCAGTATCATTATGATTCCTAAAGTCTTGTTATTAATTCTTAACTGTGTAAAAGACCAATAGTCCAATCCAGGTTTAACTTAACCCAGCATTGCCTAGTTCTTTTGTACATGTTTACCTTCATTATGAAGTGAAAATTTAGGTGCACTAAACCTAGTTTCAGCTTCTGAATGCTCAACAGTGGCTTGAAAAGAGCATATTTCCATAAAAATAAGTCCTAACATTTTGCAGGTATGTCACAGCTTAAGTTCATACTTAAAAAACAAACATTTCTCAAAAAAAAAGTCCAATTGAAACAACTCTGCCTACAATGCAGACAGCCTTTGCATTATCTTACAGAGGGGTTTAGCTCCTTAAAATCACTCTTCTCAAATGACTTTATTTCTGCAGTGGTCTTTTACTTTACATGTGCATAACTAAATAGCTAAATGGACCGTTTAAGTGATTTTCCAAGAACAAAGGGATGCAAAGATGGGCTTAAAGATAAAAGGGAAAGTAGAAGGGGAAATTACTTAAATCTTGGCTGAATCTCCAGTGACCTTTGGGTGTGTGATGAGCTTCATTAGTTGGTCAGTACCACTGAGTAAAATGAACACTGAGTGATTTCCTTCCTTCTTTGCTCATTCAACATTTACATTTCACAAAGAGAGGGATTAATAAGAACAGTTATGTGATTAATATGAAGTGCTTCCACTGGGTAGAGTTTGTCCCAGATCTCTCTTGCCTGTTCAGAAACTGTGTACTAGTGATTTGAGCAGGGAAAATTTAACACAAGTTATCATTAGGTAGGTAAGTAGTGGTTAATGCTAGAAGGAAACTTGAAGGTCTAACAGATGTAGCTACTGCTGGGAGCTGCCACCAGCCCGGGACTGAGGAAAAGTAAAGAGGGAAGAAATTTAGACATTTAGAGGAAGGCCCTACATACTAGATATTCAGACCTCTGAGAAGACAGTGTGGATGCCATAGAAACATGCTGCCTATCATGGTGGTAACTGAGAAGCTAGATGGAAAGCTGTCTGCCGGTGAACCCACTTCTGTAGGCTAGGGGGCATTCACCACTGAAGTAGAGGGCTGTGGCCACTGTGGTAATCACTACCAGGATTCCTTCCTGCTCATCTGCTTGCCACCATGTGGAGAACAGAACAGCAGAAAAAGAGTGAATTGCTTCTTCCTGCCTTGCAGTGTCCCTCTAGCACCCTTATTGGAAGATCCCAGCATAGAACCTGCCAGCAAAGGAGAAAGGTAGTCTGCACAATTGAGTTGTAGCATCAAAAAACAGGGCAAAGAAAGGTGGGAGATGTAAAGGAAGCTTTTTAATATTGATGTGATCTGGGTTAGGAAAACAAAAAACACAAGGTCTGTCTTCTTTCTACTTAGGGAGTTGGAATTTACAGGAACCTCAGAGTTTTGAAATGCCAGGCCAAGAAATTAACATAAAAGTGGTTTTGATGCAGTGATGCCCTTGAGATTTCTTGCAAAGCAAAAACATATTTGGTCTGAGGGAGGGATATAACTTCCATCTAGGTTGCACAGGACTCCCGTGGATATAAAACCACACTGAAAATGAACCTGCAATCACATATGACAAACTACCATGACATAGGCATGACACAGGGATAGCAGAGGGAAAAAAATCCCATGCATTTTATAGAATAAATGTAATAAAGCAAGCAGATAGATACTCTAAAATAAGTATGTTTAAAATAGTTAATGACATAAAAAAGCAAGGAAATACAAGAGAATAGTTAATTAAAACAACTAATAGAAATGAAAAATGAAGATATTAAAATCAAACAGTAAGGAGAGATTTCTGCTTTCAGTTAAGATGTAGAAGTACATGAAAGACAAATGGTAACAACAAGAAAAACCTCAACAAAGTTAAAATCATATTTTTCAATGAGGTCAGCGAGGAATGAAGAATGAAAGAAAACCCTGAGGAACTGCTTTTCAAAGAGAAATGAGGCATTCATAAATGAACAGAAAGCCTCAGCAATTTCCCACTTGGGAGTAGGCACCTTGTCTAAATACAGGCAGATGGAGAATTAGCTTGTCAAAGATGGAGATGAGAAGAAACCAACCAAGAATTTGACAGTAATGTGGGCTTGTGGGATGCACAGGAATTTGGAAGAAGACTATAGTAGATTGAGTTTTCCAAAAATGTCCTCAACAGTATCTTCCATCCTACAGAATCTTTCCTACAATGTGACAATGACATTCCTTCCACAGAGTGGTAGTGTTCATGGTCCCTGCCTTGAATCTGGTCAAGTTTGTGACAATGGTGAAAATAATGATATGTGAATTCTGAGGCTAAGTCATAAAAGGTGTTACAGCTTCTAGCTGGACCTCTCGCGATGCATGACTTTGCAACCCCAACTGCAATGTAAGGAGTCTAAAGCTGCTGTGGTATGAGGAAAGGTCATGTGGAGGTGTTCTGGATCATCC